TGCGTGTTTTTGTGACTCAAAGTATAACGTTACACAATACAGCATTACCATACTTAGTCAGTGATGCTAATGTTATGACTATGGGACTGGGAATTCGCGAAGTGCATATGAGTAAGTGAATGAAGTCTGGCATTCTAACCATCCTTTTATTTGTCCTCATAACGCAGCATTCACTCAAACCCCGTGCGTTTATAGTGAAAAACATTCCCAGACCGCTCTCAAGTCATTAAAACATGATCCACGACTTAAAACAGAATTCCCTGCGAGAGATCAGTAGTTTTAAAAGCTTTACGGACAACATAGATTTTAACAAGATTGCGGATTACAGTAACATAAAGGGTTTTTATATCTCTTCAGTCCCCTAATGTGTCAAACTATCCCCCGACCTTAGTTCTTTGTAACCAACTGAAAGGAGACAATCACAGGTAGTCAGACAGGTGATCCCGCAGGTAGTACACCTGAGCTGGGCAGGTGAGAGCGGGCAGGTAAACCTACGCCAGGTGTTTACGGTAGAGGCCCGCTGTGTGAAACGGGAGACGTGTGGGGAGCTGTGTGGGTACAAAAGCGGGAGGGCCGGGGGAGGTGTAGGGTTCGCCGGTTGCGCGGGCGGCGCCTGTGTTTGCGGTAGTTACGGCCAGGCTGAGCGGGCATAGCTGGGAGAACGGGAGAGAAGGAGGGAAAGAGAAGGCGTCTAGAGGTGAGAAATGATCAAAATAGTTGTAAAGGCATCGTACCTACTCGTTGGAAGATAGTAGGGTTGAAAGAATATGCTTAGAACGAAACAGATATGTATGTATGTATTAAGGCAGTCATTGCCACAGCCTCAGTTGTGTAGAGAAAGATGTCAAGTGCTAGCAGACAAACTTTGTGGTTGGTACTGTGACAGGTAGGAACGGTCAAAGAGTGAATGTTCAAAGTTATGGAGAGAATCTGCATGGAGTAGAATATGTAATATGTAAGGTAGTGTATTAGGCAGAGTCTGAAAAGTATCAGTTGTTCAGGTATACATCAGAAAAGTTGCTTGCAAAGTGTTATGAGAGGTAAGGAACCGACATAGCATAGGGAGAGGGAGAGGGAGAGAGATGTTGTTCGCGAAAAAATGCCATGTTCAAGTTATAATATGCAACAATATGGGACAGGAGTGTGCATCTGTAGTTAACCATTATTATTATTAGAAGCGTTTATTACAGGCAGTCTATGAAGTATTTTCCTATGTGTAGAAGAATTTTCGTAGAAAGTGATACTGTACGGGTGGTCTAACTTTCAGGCCAGTAGTGCATATTGTTAGCTTGGGTTGGGAAAAATGACCACAAAGCTAACATTGCGGCTCTAGGTGCAAACGTCAGAATGCCGAGTTGTAACTGTAGTGTCCCTGACAGCGGGTAAGTGGTGGTCATAGCTTAGACTTAGCACTGGTTAAGATATCTTAGTTGTGTGGCACCAGAGGTATGTCCTAAGTGAGTTTTTGCACTCTATGACCTAGCCCTAGCCTATGGAAGTCAGCAAAACGACTACCAAAACGTTAGAAGTGGAAAAAGTCTTGATGTTCTGTTTCGATTTCTAGCCCTTATCAACATGCATTATCCAATGCTTTGAACACTCTATGAAGGCCACACAGTGGTTGGATATCTCAGCTCACATTAAGAGCTTAATCTGAAAATCCTACCGTTGTTCAGAACTGCCGAGTTCAATAATTTCCAGGCAGATCTTTAGTACTGCAAGACTCGGCACAGTTGGCAGTTTCATAGCCAGGGTAGTAGGCAATGCTCTACCATGTTTTCAATACTTGGCTGTAGAAAAATAAGACACCAGTACAAAAAGAAAGCCGTCGATCGGTGTGATATAGCCAGCTGCCGCCGCGCCGCGTGCCTGCGAAGCTGGTGTGTTACGCCGGTTATACCGGCTATACTGATTAAGATACAGATATAACAAGCCCAATAAAAAAACGCCTCAAAACTCTTCAAAAATAAGCCGCCGCCCAAACCTCTGCTTGGAGAGCATAGTTGTGATTGTTCAGGATGTTTACAGTGTGTAGCGATATGGCTGAAACTCGACCCTCATGTGGCGGGTAAAGTTTACGCCGCAGAGTCGATACAATCGATGTCAGAAGTTGCCAAATCAAACGACATAGTGACGTCAAACGCGCCAATCGTTTCTGTCCCTACGTGCGGGTTTTGGCGCGAACACAGGGTACTTCACACTGGAAAGGTGTTTTTCAGAATTAAAGAGCACCCTAGAACCCAACTTGTGACTGTGCGAACCGTAAAGTTTATATCGGGTCGAAGTCGAAGCGTATGATGTCCTTTAGGCTAAATAGTTCACCAAAAGACTTGCCTGTATATTGTAGTTTCTTTCCTCCTGACATGATGATGATTTTGAAGAACTTTGCTTGTAGAATTTTCAAGATCATGTCTTCGTTTTTACATAGCCTTTCCAACGAATACTAGTAATTGAAACATGCTCGACTACAATTTTGTCAAACGCACATGTAACCGCCCCCCCCCCTTTGAACTACTAGAGGCTATTTTGTACGATTTTCTAAAAACGTTTTGTGTCCTTTGGAGTTTGAATCATACATGTCTTGTATATCGTGCATCATATTCCAAAATAGAATCAAGGCCACACAAATCTAATTTTGCTAGCCCACTTGTCGCACCATCTAATTAACAAGAGGGTGATTAATAAAGGGACACTGTTCGGCCGATTAGATCATCTTGCCACGGTAGGATCTGCTTGGAGATTAGAAACTTTAGAAAGGCTGTTTTAGCCACTTGTATGTCCAGGCATGCAGACGAAAGAACGTCTCGTATTGAGGCGTCTAAGTTGTGTTTACTTAAACACTTACACTTTGTTGATTCTGCACCTCTAATAGAACAGGGTGAGGTTGTTCTGAGGGTGTGTAGTGATCCGTACTTGACCCGTGTTGGAGACAGAGACTAGGTAAGAAAAGACGCCCCCTGTGCGCAGGGTGCGTTACCGCCTGGTACAACACGCGCGGCGGGGCGGGAACTGACTTCTGCACGCGTTCGTGATCTTCAACAAAAACTGAGGCAAGTAATTACCACTGGATGGAGACCATAGATCAACCAAAATTGGATTTGAATTTCTAACGACGTTTCGATAATGATTCAAAATACGATCCATGATATAAGAGAATGATATGACAAAAACAAAATACAACAAAATGGTCTAAAGTTGATCTTTCGTTGGCTGCAAGAGAGGTATCAAACCGGACAGTATCAAATTGGCATTTACCATCCAAAAGAAAGATACCAGTACAAAAAAGGAAACTATGATAAAAACGCCCGAAAACATGTCAAAAATAAGCCTATAACTTCGCTTGGATCATGGAAAGTACTATTTATGCAAACCGTTTAAACTTCACTGCTAATTAGAGTTTGAGTCCCTCACCAGTCTCTGCGTGAGTGGTGAGAGGACATTCCCGGCTGGTGTAACACGCACGGACTCTGCTGGAACAACTTTCCTCGCGCGTTTGTGATCTTAGCCAAGCACCGTGTCAAGTGCGCTTTCCCGCCCGACAAACGCCAATGCTACCCGCCAGAGGTGCGACCAGACACGGCTCTGGCACGTTTGATCAATGTCGCACAACGATAATAACGTTCGCTGGAAAGAGTAGGAGTTGGCCAAAGAGAGAGATAACCTGCCGAGGACTCTCTATCGGACCAACTCCCTTCGCATGTTATCTCTCCATTTGGCCAAAAAATTATACTCTTTCCAGCCGCCTCCCGAGCCTGGTAGAGACTATCCAGAACCGTGCTTTATCTAGAATCATGCTCAGGTACGGTTCTTGATAGTCCATGCGTATCCAGAACTATGCCTGGGACAAATCTGCGTTTCTTGGCTACCCGAAGACTATCTAGAACCGTGCCTGGTTCTAACCCTGAACTCATTCAGGCATAGAACTAGACGTTGGGATGAAAGATATTGATGTTTTCTGACTGACACTGCCCGGCTTCTTACAGTTCTTACCACATACAAAACTCCCTTGTAACAGATAAGCAGATGAACAACTGTCGAAGGAAAACGGAAGATATGCACATATATCCTGAACCTACCTATTACGTACAATATGAGTGATGTTTACACGGAGGTACTAAGTACAATATAGGTGGCGCTTCGACGGGCGGCCAAGCTAGGCTCCCCTCTCGATTATTTATGAAAAAAAAATTATTGTTCTCCAAACTTGACTAGTCCGCCTAACAGAATCTCTTGTGTCCCCATACAGTGTCCGTTACCATGGCAACAACAGCAGACGACCGACGCTGAGGAAATAAAAAATGGCGGCCAGGAGAGACCAGCTCACGTGACGCCAAGGTCGTCCTCGCGTGCGAAATTTCAAGGTCAAACCTACGTCAACGAAATCCCGGGTTAATTAGAGGACAATCACCCAGGAAACCGCACCTAGCAACCGAGCAGGGCCATAGGGGCGTTGCTATGACGACCGGAATAACATCACTAGCCAGGAGACCAGAACAGTAGATACTAGTACACACACGGGAAATAACAAGCCTGCCGCTGTACGTGTAGGTTTTACAATGGCGGTGCAGTGTGGAATGGAGTCTGTGGCGCAAATTCGGACTTGAAGATCCTCTAAGGATAGCCTTGACTGTACAAGTGAAAGTGGGGACAGTCACTCTGGCGTTGGAAGTGTAGACTGACCTGCGACCCTTGGGAAGAGGACTTGTCTTGACTTCGTCAGTGAAAGTGTAACGCGTGAATTTGATCTGGAAAGTAAAGACTTCGGCTTTGTAAGTGGCAGTAGAAAGTGTGATAGAAAGTTTTGAAAAGTGAGTGAAGATTGTCGTAGACCCTGAAAGTGAAAGTGACAAAAAGTGACGAAAAGTGAAAAAAACGTCTTTGGCCAAAAAAAGTGAAAGTTACATTGAAAGTAAAAATTCAAAAAGTGAAAGTTAAGAAAGTGAAAGTTAAAAAAGTGAATGTTAAAAAAGTGAAAGTTAAAAAAGTGAAAGTTAAAAAAATCGTCTTAAAAAGTGAGAGTGAAAAGCGAAGATGCGGATTTTCGTGACGTTCCGCCGCGAGCGTCTTACGGTTGACGTGGAGACGGGCGTGACGGTGGGGCAGATGAAGCGGGAGATCAGAGACAAGTTCTCCCTGGTGGGAGACGACGGCACGCACGAGAAGAAGTTCCTGGTCTTGACCTTCGCAGGTGAGAGCGTCTTGAGAACAGCACGCACACATCTTAGAACACCTGTAAATGTTACTAAGTGTTATGGCATGTACACACAAACACACGCGCGCACACACACACACACACACACACACACGCACACACACACACCTTCAACGTTGGCGTTCCGTCGTATGACGTCCGTTTATGTAGATAAGGTAAGGACTCAGTTCCACATAGCTTAAAGTCCATTGATACTCCGTTCGTTCCGTAATCTCAAAGCAGATTTCTTCGGGGGCATACATTTTGTTGTTGGCCCATTACCAGTTGGCCGTACAACTGCTTATGGCCTGGATAGTAACTACAGTGTATTGTTCCCGACGAAATCTGCTTAGAGATTATGAAATCCGGACGCTCCTCTTGTAAGGGTTAGAATTTATGTGTAAGTGTACAGTACTGTACATTTGTACATTCCTTTAGAATTTAGGAATATTTCCTGGAAGAATGTACGCTTACACGGAGATAGACGCACGGCTACATGTACCTGTGTATGATGTGCCTGCGTTAACGTTGTAGCACGTCACGGTCAAGGCCGCCGTCATTCAACCTGCAGGTCATTAACCCCGGCCAGAGCATCCTCCATTGTCTAACGTTTGTTGTTATACACGAAGATCAACACGTACGTATTGTACGGACTACGGGTGATACTGTTACGGCTACATTGTTGTACCGTGGATAGGTTTCAGTGTCAGGCGCACGGTCAAATGCGTCGTTCCACAGTTTTACTAGCCAATTGGATATTCTCTGGCCGGCTACCTCCCCTGGTATATTATTCCTTTATTTCGGCCAATTTCTACTATTTTTCCAGCGACCCGCGGTGCCTGGTAGAGGCTACAGTTTTACGACATACGGCGTACTGTCGCAAGGAGGTCTGACCGGGCCCACATACACCGTACTAATAGTAATACTGTCGCACCTGGTCAGAGACAAAAAGACGTGGCATTTACACACACATAGAACAAGATTAAAGCACTTCCTGAAGAGCCTATTTGTAATACAGGGGATTCCACTTATTTGTATTTCGGGTAATTGTATAGAATTCTAAAACACCAAACCATTTACCATTCACACCATTGTAAAAACAATGCATAATTGTATAGCGCATTATCGTATATTCCGGCGTATAGAATGTACTAGTATCACATTCTGCATACCATAGCTGCTCAAAACACCAGCTACTTTGCTACCTTGTACGCTACAGTGTATATGTACAGTACAATTTTATTACATGGGATATACATGTAGGTATACCTTTCCCATCCTTAACAATGCATCTTTCTTACCAACAATGCATCAAGTACTAGTAATTTCTGCCTCCCCCCAGGTTCTACCCTCCAGGACGAGTGGGTGTTCTCTGATATCGGCATCCTACCGGGATCGACCATTAAATGCGCCCTGAGGGAGGTGGACGGACCCACTCTGTTCGTCTACACAGGTGAGGCAGAGTCACTTAGAACTTCACCTTTCTCTCTGTTAAGGCAACCGATTTCAACTTTTTGAAGATTCTGTTGCCTAATAGTACATACACAAGGATAATATGTAAGGTTTGAGTTTAATACACACTCACATCGTAAGGGGCCCTACTCTTTCGAGTAAGTGCGGTGGATTGTGTTAAGTGCTCAAGGTGCGATTCTTCTAAAAAACGCGATCTCCGGGCAATTGAATGTCTTATCCCAAAGATGGTGGCCAGCGTTTATTGGCGACGTCTCAGGGGCGGAGCCTTTGGTGTAGTACTGCTACTAGTAATGAGTTGAAAATATTCTAAATATTACGAGAATCCTTACCTTAGACCTTAGTTCCTCCTGCGCCTGATGGCACATCGGGCAGCAAATTCCACTTCCTTTTGTCAGCAGCTACTGTCTCTGCCTCCTCCCGAGGGATGTTCGTATTTGTTACGATAAGGCTGTCATTGGGTGGAGTATATGGTCAACAGATATAATCCATGCAAATGGGGCTCTTATTATCAAAATTGTATAATTCGTCAACCGCAAAGGTTCATCATTTTGGCGACCGTATGAGATCGTGGAACTCTTGTTTTGTTTGCGGTGGAAACAATGTAGACTGTAACACACACACATGTGCACACGTGGCACCACAAAAATACAATCAAGATGTAGGTTCTAAGGTGAGAAATTTGTGTGTACCTGCAGCCTTTAACGGCGAGACGGTGACCTTCCTGGACAAGATAAACTTCGTGTCGGGGACGGTGAGCGAGGTGCGGAGTCTGGTGACGCGCCGCACGGGGCTGCCGGTCGGCATCTACAGGCTCCTGGCGCCCGGCGGGAGGGAGATGTTCGACTGTAACAGCCTCGACTTCTATAAGGTATGGAGGGGTTTGTGGATGTGTGTGTGTGTGTGTGTGTGTGTGTGTGTGTGTGTGTGTGTGTGTGTGTGTGTGTGTGTGTGTGTGTGTGTGTGTGTGTGTGTGTGTGTGTGTGTGTGTGTGTGTGTGTGTGTCTGCGTGTGCGTGTGTGTCTGGATGTATGTGTGTTTGTCTGCGTGGATGTGTATGTATGTGGTGGTGTAGTGGATAGAGCAATCGCCTATGAACCGGGAGACCCGGGTTCGATTCCGAGTCGTACCCGGTACATGTCTGAACATGCGCCCCGACGTTGTGCCCTTGGGAAAGGCACTTTACACGAATTTCCTCACTCCACCCAGGTGTGAATAGGTACCTAACTTCGGTTGGGGAAAGTCGTATTGAGGTCACCTTGTGGCGCCGAAAGGCAGCCGCACAGACTTGCGACAAATATGTGTCTCATGTGTATTATTTGATTGTTGTGATTTGTATTGATTATTATGTGATACCCTGCATCAATTCAGCCGTTAAAGGCTGCGACTGCACGGGTACTGTTTGGATAATAAAAACCATTTATTATTATTATTATTATGTGTGTGTGATTTTTGTGGATGTGTGTGTGTGTGCGTGGATGTGAGTGCACGTGTTTGTATGTGTGTGTGTATGTGTGTACGTGGATGTGTGTGCATGCGTGTGTCTGTGTGTGGTGTGTATGTGTACATAATATGCGAGTGTCTGACTGAGAGTATGTATGTTTGTGTGTGTGTTTGTAAAAGTGTGTGTGTGTGTGGATGTCTGCATTTGTGTACATGTGTGTGTATGTATGTGATTGTGTGTGTGTTGCGTGTGGATGTGCGTTTGTGTATGTACGCGCGCGCGTGTGTGTGCGTGCGTGCGCGCTTACGATGCAGATGTTGATACTTTTGTTCATGTTACAGGTAGAGCTGGGTGCGACGCTGCGGATGGAGACGTGGGACGGCTGGACGGAGTTTCTGCAGGCTGATGAAGATGCTGATGTTTATGTTGCTGTTACAGGTTTATGATGATGCTGATGTTGTTGATGTTGATGTTACAGGTAGAGCTGGGAGCGACGCTGCGCATGGAGACGTGGGACGGCTGGACGGAGTTTCTGCAGGCCGCCACCGCAGGGCAGGCCGGGAGGGTTCTACTGCAGGTGGCCGAGAACGAGATGGTGCAGAGGTGGGAGTCAATAGTCATTCATTCTCATCTCTTTTCATTCAATCACTCATTCATTTCTATATTTCTATAGTCATTCATGTCTCCATTTGTTCCTTTTGTATGTTCTCATTCCTTCATTCCTTCATTCATGTCTCCGAATGTTTCTTCATCCATGTCTCCATTTGGTCTTTCATTTGTTCGTTTATTTATTCTTTTCATTTTCCTTCATTCCTTCGATTGTTCATTCATTTCTTCATTTTCTCGTTCATTCATGCCTCCCTTTGTTCATTCATTCCTTCATTTTCCCGTTCATTCATTTGATCGTTCACTCATTCCTCCATTTCTTCGTCCATTCATTCATTTTCCCATTCATTCAGTTTCCCATTCATTCATTTTTCCATTTGTTCATTCACTCCTCCATTTTCTCATTCATTCATTCCCCTATTCCTTCACTCCTTCCGCAGGTACCAGTACAAGGTTGCCCTGTACATCGCAGGACACTACGGACACGCGGACCTGGCCACTTCGGTGCTGAAGTACGGAGCCAAGCCCGACGAGCCGGTCGGCATGCACCCCTTCAGGGAGTGGTGCGATCAGGACTCCCACCCTCTGGCCATCCAGCCCGCTATCCACCACACGGCAGAGACTGGACAGGTATGAGAACCCATAACTCCGGTTCAAGACAGACCTAGGCGCAGTTGGCTTGTGTGTTTGTACATCTGTGTGTATGTGTGTGTACGCACACGTGTACGTACGCGTTTCTGCCTCAAAAATCTTCGGCATATATCAAAATAGCATGAAGACTACCACAAATGTGACCGCACCTTAATCTAACCCTTACCCAAACCAGTGTACATAAACCTTTATTCTTAAGGGGAAGGTACTGTGTACCTTACCTCTAACCATACCTGTGTGTCTCTAGGTGTCGGTCCTACGAGTGATGATCCAATACAACCCCAGCTGCCTGGCCTGTAAGTTCCAGGGGAAGAACCCACTCTCCGTGGCACTGTTGGCGGGAAAACGCGAGGCTGCCATCTACCTCATCAGCAAGTACTGGAGCCCGGTCACCATCAACAACATCTCCCTGTCCATCAACATGTACGCCAAGGTGCGGCGTTGGGCAGAGGGGTCCAGGGAACGGGTACGTATTGATGGTTTATTTTGTTAAATACCTTCACAGAAGGAAAATAGTGTTTTGCTTTGTTCCTTCTTCTTCTTGAAACAAAACAATGTCAACGACCTGGACCAGACGGCTGTCACCATGGTACACTGTACCTGGTAATCTTTGCAGGCAATAGGAGTCTATATTGGCCACCTGTATCCACTGTCCTCTTGTGACTGCTGTCCGTCCTACGTAGGTACCTGGTGCTGTAGCAGACACCCTGTGGTGTTGGGTTACATTATGTAGCAAGTGGCAGTACAGAGTTGCAGGGCATAGTTGGCAGTACTGACATTTTATTTGTCTAAACTTTAATATGTTAGTTTCACAAGGCCATGTATAAAAGGATATAAAATGATGGGAAAAAGAGAAAAATTGATCCCAAAACTGGGTACCTTTCACATGTCTGACTCTAGTTTTTTCTTCTCCTCCCCAGGTGTTCCTCCAGAAGGGTTCAGTGGCCACGTCGCTGAAGCGGTCGCCCCACAAGGGCGCGCTGGTCGGGCAGGGCGTGAACGTCGACGGATTCACCTCCAGCCAGATGACCTCTAAAACGAAAGCTGAGATGCGCCAGCAGGCCTTAAAGTCGATGGCTGCATCCAGCAAACTCCCGCCTATGCCCGCGCTGACTAGTAGGTTCAGCAAGGTAGGCATGGCATTCATCACACTTTTAAGTTCAACTTTTTCCTTATGTCGACTACTAACTTAACCCTTCCTTGGGGGTAACAAAACAACCAAAACGTGAAACATTGAAGCTAGAACTCAGTGAGCTGACATTGCCTGACAAATAAATTAATAGAACAAGAAATTCCCAAATCCTCTGTAATATTTCACGGAGGGAATGAGAGATTACAATTTCTCGTTCATGTCGCAATGTGTTCATCTTGTAACGTGTGAATGTTACAATGTGTGAATGTTGCATTGTGTCCATGATGCAATGTGTTCATGTTGTAATGTGTTAATGTAGCTATGTGTTCATGTTGCAATGTGTTCATGTTGCAATGTGTCCATATTGCAACGTGTTCATGTTGCAATGTGTTCATGTTGTAATGTGTTCTTTTTATTTATTTATTTATTTTATTTAAATCGATTGCGACGATACAATACACTGGCCACCCAGGCAGCATAGCTGATTTCGGGCGCCAAACAATACAAAGATTAAACATACACAGTATAACATACCAATACAGTAGACTAACAAGTAAAAATTAAGCTAAAATCAATCAGTTATCAATATAAAATACAACCAAGCATAATAAAGTACTCAATCAAGATAATAATAGCAATTAATGTTTTGGAGGTCAGAGGTCAAGGGCAATTGGATATAATACAGTATGTGAGGAAATATATACATGTATAACGTAAGATTGTAAAAGGTTAACTTATGTGGTACCACGGGAAGGGCCATCTAAACGTTTTGTGGTGGAAATAAATGTTTCAAATGCCTCAAATAGTTGTTTGTTTGTGTGCATGTTACAGCCTGGTAGCCCCTGTAGTAGAACAGATTCGGTTAGACGGTGTGATGTGAGTTGCTCTACTGTGGAGGTTAAAATGTGACGCTGGCGGCTGTAAAGAGGACAGCGTAGTAAATAATGGGAAACAGTCTCAGAAGAGGTACCACAGGAGCACATTTTGTCTTTGATATTCATCAAGTGCAAGGTGGCATTTAGTGGGCTCCAGTCCATTCTTAGTCTTGCAGTTAGGATGTTGTAGTACCGAGTACCTAGACGTCTGTACGGCTGGTTATGTCTCGGAGTGAACAGGTAATCCTTGCACTTTCTCTTGAAGTCGTTTAGGCTGCTGGCTTGCTTCAGTGCCTGTGGAAGGCAGTTCCAAAGGGTAGAAGCATGTGGAATAAAACTGGACCGGTACACCTTCGTTCTACAGCGGGGAACATGAAGATGTGTAGTGTTGCGTAGCTGTAGACGAGTCGTTCTCCGTTCGCCTCTAGTGGAGGGGATGAGTGACTGCAGGTGCACTGGGACTAGACCATGCGTCATCTTGTACATTAACACCATGGAGTGGTAGTGTCTCCTGGTAGACAGGTTGTCCCATTCGAGCTCTCGTAGGAGGCTCGTACTGGGGGTCCCCTTCATGGCTCCTGTTGTAAGGCAGCCAGCATGGTATTGAACTTTGTCTAGAGTAGCGCTAGCCGTACTGCCGAGGCCGTAATGTGTTCTTGTTACAATGTGTTCATGTAGCAATGTGTTCATGTTGCATGGTGTGAATGTTGCAATGTGTCAATGTTCCAAATTTGTATTCATGATGCAATGTGTTCATGTTGCAATATGTTTGTACCCCATTGCCCAGACACTGCTAACGATGCACAAAGAGAAGCTAATCCGGGAGCAGGACGCGGAATCCGTCACGCCCAAACGCAGCTTCGCCCAGACAGACTCCAGCACTGAGATGCAGCTCCCAAACATCCCACCAGGGGGCGCTAAAAAACTCAAACTGCGGGCTCTGCTGGGCAAGAAGGAATCACCCGTTGCCACCGACGAGTCACCACCAGAACAAAGTGCTGCTTCCTCGGGGGCTAAAAAACTGGCGATGAAATTCGGCGCTGCAAAAACTGCGTCAGAATCGACCAGTGAAGATGCGCCAACACCCAAACCCGCCGGGGGCCTCATGGGTAAACTAGCCGGGCTAAGGAAGGCCGCGGACAAGCCTGAAGAAAGCAAACCTTCCCCAAGTTTCGGAGGAAAGCTTCTAGGGAAACTTCAGGACACGTCAGGCGCTGAAGACTCACCGGCAGAGGCTGCAGTACCACCGGCTCCCGCTGCGGGGCGCTTCAAACTGAAATCCCTGCTCGGTAAACTGAAAGGCGGGCAGAACGCAGAGCCAAGCCAGGAGGAGGGGGCATCAGGAGGGGCGACCGGGAACTTTATCGAGACCGGGAAGGACAAACTGCCCCTCCTGCTGCCCAAACTGGGTCAAGGTCAGCCCGAAGGTCAACCCGACGACCTTGGGGGCAAACAGAGGTCAAAGACGGAGGAGCCACTTCCTTTACCTGCCCTAGAAAAGTCGTTTATCCGGCGGCGTTCTAAGACAGAAGAGATGCGTAAGAGCACGCTGGCGCTGTTTGAGTTGTACCGCGGGCAGACGGCTCACGAGAAGGCGGTCGGCTGCATGGCCATCGCAAACACATTCAAGGAGAAACCCTGGCTACACCAGGTGCACCTGGCCGTAACCCTGGCCAGACAGAGCGTGCAGAGGTCACTCGAGAAGGGACGCAAGGACAAGATGGAGGTCAAGAGTTCATCCTAATGGGACTTGTACTGCATCCAGAACCTTTTGTATCCAGGTTTTGTATCCATGGATAGTCCCTATTGTATCCAGAACCATGCCTATCTAGTCTGAATGGGTTAGGATCAGGCATGGTTCTGGATAGTCCCTATTGTATTCAGAGCCATGCCTATCTAGTTCTACTGGTATATGCCTGAATGGGTTAGGGTTGGGATCAGGCACGGTTCTGGATAGTTCCTATTGTATCCAGAACCGTGCCTATATCTACATGTAGTTCTATATACCTGAATGGGTTAGGGTTGGGATCAGACACGGTTCTGGATAGTCTCTATTGTACCCAGAGCCATGCCTATCTAGTTCTACCTGTATATGCCTGAATGGGTTAGGGTTGGGATCAGGCATGGTTCTGGATAGCTCCTATTGTATCCAGAACTGTGCCTATATCTAGTTCTATATGCCTGAATGGGTTAGGTTTGGCATCAGGCATGGTTCTGTATAGTCTCGGACGTGCATCCAAGCACGTAGATTTCCCCCAGGCATGGTTCTGGACAAGTGTGGGCATATCCGGAACTGCTTTGTTCTGGATAAAGCACGGTTCTGGATACAGCAAGAGTTCCTCCAGATGGGACTTGTGTGTGAACTGACTTTACAGCCATAAAAATGTGGTGGAATTGTAGAAAAGCTGAAGTTATTTTCAGTGATTTAAAATTTATGTCAATTTGAGATATTTTTTTTTTACATCTAAAGTTTTAAGAACTTTTAAACAATTATAGCTAAAATCTGAAGCTGAGGATTTTCAAGTTGCTCTCAGGCAAGGCCATAGTTTATCAAATAGAACTAGTTTTGATACTTACATGATGTAGTGTAATATCATAACGTGCGATGGGAGATTGGAGGAAAAGACAATTGTGACGTTCTCACAAGACTGTGAGAGAGAAACTTGGTGTACATGTAGTTTGGACAAGTAAGAGATGGGTGGCTTTGCTTGTTTCTGTGTCTTATTTCAGCTTTCATATGTCTGAAAAAAACTGACATTGTACCATCAGGAAGACGTAAAAACCTCAGCAGGAAGAAGTGCAGAAACAACCTAAAGCCACACAGAAGACTGCAATACAAGTCTTACTTACAAGTCATTTGTTTTGTTGTTTTGTCTTTGTTCCCTCTAAATAGTTATATTCTAAGAACTATTCTGTAACAACCAAGCCATTTTGTAGGGACCATAATACATGTAGTAGTATTCTCATCAACAATTTTAACAGCTTAAAAGGACTACAAGAAAGTGCACACAAAATCACACAAACATGATCATGTTTCCTCATAGCAACATTAAACAGATTAATTTAACAATTAATATCAAATATCTGGTTTCACATATGATGGCTAACAGTCCATTGCACAAAATTCAGACATAACACCTCATCCTATTCCACACTTTTGATTGGTCAAGAAACTGTCATGTGACAGTTATGTGATACCTTCACTGAAATTACCTTGGTTCACACTTCAACGTGTACGTAACACACCTGATTGGTCAGTACCTGGTCATGTGACCTGTCAATCACCTAAATCACAAATATCACATTACACACACACCAGATTTAAACGTCGATGGTCCCATATATCCTGTTTGTATATCATAATGGTACAGTCCGCTCTGACTGACCAATGGCACAAGGGCATCTACAGCTTGGGGCAGACCATGTAAGACGACAGGGGGTGTCCACAGTTGACAATATTGCATACCACAGAGAAGTTGCACATTTCCACATTTGGCACAGACCCTCACATCATAATCAGTGGTAGAAATACATTTTTCAGTGTCCTGCAATATTGCAGAATGTCAAGATTTTGTTCAGAAATATTTTCTGCAAATGCACACTTAATAGTGAATTAGATTAAACCCATTATACAAAATTGCATATTTGCAAACCGTTTTACATGCAAAATTACTTGATATTATGGAGTCAGGAGTAAACACAAAAGCTCTTAATTATTAAACACCATTGAACCCCTAGCCTAATTTTTTCATTCTGCAAAATTGCAGGTTGCTTAATTTTGAAAATGTCTCTGCAAAATGCAGACTGCAGATGGGTATTTCTAACACTGATAATAATAGCAATTCTCTATATAAAGCCATGATTTAACTACCACCTAACTAACTACATTCTGAAAGAGACTTGACAACCTAAGCTAAAACAGGCACAAAGCAGCAATGTTTGTATTTCCCTAGTTATCTAGCAGCTTGTCTACCTCTTTTCCGGACAGCATGGTGTTCTGCTGGGACGATGATCTGGATTCGACATGCGTGTGTTAGCAGTGCCCCCTATCAGTCAGAGTGATTACTGCAACAAACACGCCTGTGTCAGGAGTTAGTTCAGCGTGACGTCCATCTCCAGTCTGGACTTCATGGTATGTGACCTGGGAAACCACAAAAAAAGAACATGTTAAGATGCTCCTTGACACCTTGAAGAAGGGAAAAGAATTTCTCATCCTCTTTGTGCAAATCGCATTAATAGATCTAGAGTCTAACCCTTGTCAAACCCTCAGAAGACGGGGAACATCAGACGATAAACCGGACAGTGAGTGAGTGAGTGAGTGAGTGAGAGCCAATAAAATCTGGACAGATGGTCACAATAGGAATGCTTCTTCAGGCTTGGAACAATGGGAAAGATTTCTTTGTATTGAGTTGGTTGCTTCTGTTCACTCAATGTTTAGTTTTCTTCTTCTGTTTTGTGTATTGCATTTCATGTTGTAGTCCAGGAAGTGTAGTGTTTTCTACGATCAAATCTGTACTAGTAACCATCTTTACATAAAAACTACTACTACTTTCCTGCTGACTGTAAACATAAAACACCAATGTAGATCTGAATAAAAGAAACAAACAAACAAACAAACACACTTGTTTCTCATGTGCGCGAGCCACTCGTCGAGAGTCTGTATCTGGTGCATGACGGACGCCCCACTGGTCCCCCCGGCAGCAGTGTACTGTTCCACACTGTTCTCATAGTTCCACAACTTCTCCACATCAGCTGTGAACTTCGGGCTGTGGAGACAAACAAACAAACAAACAAACAAACGATATGGAACATTTAGACTGTAATTTCCAACACAAGTAGAACATAAGTTGTACCAGAGTTATCAACCAAGGATTGAGGTGTTCAAGAATTCATTCTTCCCTAGAACTATCGCAGAGTGGAACTCACTGTCACCAAGTACAGTAGAGGCATTGTCAATAGATAGCTTTAAACAATGTCTAGAGCTAGAAGTTCAAGGGTTAGGTGTAACAAGTCGATCGGTGTAATATAGCCAGCTGCCGCTGCGCCGCGTGCCTGCGAAGCTGGTGTGTTACGCCGAAAGGCGGTTATACCGGCTATACAGAACATCAATTCAAAGGACAGAGGCAAATGGCGGGCTGCTATCAAGCCTCAGCATCAGTGTGCAAGCACATATAACCCTCAGAAGACGGGGAACAACAGATGATAAACTGCATAGTGAGTGTGTGAGTGAAGTAACAGTTGTAAAATGTGTCGGTGAAGGTAATAGACATCCAGGTAATAAGATGTGCCAAAAACAATTATTCAAGGTACTGGATATGATTTTGGAAATTTTCCAGAATTATATCCAGTTGACTGAGAAACTGTTTTTTGGCATTGTAGTAAAATAATTAATATCTATATGAAGACATCCTACAGCTGCCATAGGCCCAAATTCTCATATAGAGACATTGTGCTATTTTAAGAACTAAGCACATACAATACAAGAACTGTATATAAAGTTGGGTGTCAGCAAGAACAACAGAAGAACCAGTATACATGTACATTGCAGAATGCTACACCCTGTGGTGGGACCTGCACTACACCCCCCTGTTACCAGGTGGCGCTGTTTCCTACCTGATGGTCTGCAGGTCGGCAAGGGTCAGGTCGCTCAGCTGGCACTTCTTGGTCTCCGCCAGGTGGACGGCTGCACCAGACATGCCGTGGGCCTCACGGAACGGGATCTAAAAAAAACGTCAAAAGATTTTTGTAAGATCTCAAGTTTCATAGAAAGGTAACATTTGCAAATCAAATGCGGAACATTCACCCTCTCATGGTCTAGCCCAACAAACTACTGCTCTCTTTATTCTCTTATTAAAACAATTTCATACATATAAACAGCCCCTACAACTCTGTCCTGCCACTTGCCACATAATGTATAATGATATTCATTTCTAGCTAATAGTTGAAATATGAACATCTTGACTATCATTTTTCTTGATTAAGAGGTAATACCTTCCTTTACAATGAAAGATTCAGCAATCTTTCCTGGTGACATGTAAATACAATTCTACTCCTGACTACTACAATGTAGATAATAGCAACGTTACATTGTACCCTGGTACCTTGAACTTGAAATAAACAGTTGCCAGCACTACCAAGTTCAGATCACCCACGAAGTGTACCTAGCCATACTCACCCCCTTGCGGACCAGGTAGTAGGCGATGTCGGTGGCCAGCATGTCGGGGCTCAGCGCAGCCTTCGCCGCGACCTTGTTGACCTCCAGGGTGGACAGCACGCCCGTTGCCACAAGCAACACGCCCGTCATGGTGTCGTACGCGTCGAACATCCCCTCCTTGTCCTCCTGAAGGTCCTTGTTGTAGGTGCTGGGCAGACCCTTCAAGGTCATCATGAAACCTGAGCACTGGAAGCCATGATATCATTAAACATGAGCACTGGAAGCCATGACATTGTGAAACCTGAGCACTGGAAGCCATGACATCATGAAACCCGAGCACTGAAAGCCATGACATCATGGAACATGAGCATTGAAAGCCATGACATCATGAAACCTGAGCACTGGAAGCCATGACATCATGAAACCTGAGCACTGGAAGCCATGACATCATGAAACCCGAGCACTGGAAGCCATGACATCATGAAACCTGAGCACTGGAAGCCATGACATCATGAAACATGAGCACTGGAAGCCATGACATCATGAAACCTGAGCACTGGAAGCCATGACAATATGAAAAAAGAGCACTGAAAGCCATGACATCATGAAACCTGAGCACTGGAAGCCATGACATCATGAATCTGGTGCCATGAAAACAGTGACATCAACCATCCTGGGCGCATAAGATTATGATTATAAATCCTGGATAGCGAGTGGATAGTGATCATGAATTGTGTGCACTGTAACAGTAATATAATCCTCAGCACTAAAAGCCATGACATCATATTCACAACTCCTCAGCATTTTACACATCATGACATCACTACACAGAAAATCATGATATTGTGAACTTTCAATTTTTATTAAACATCATTACAAAATGGAGGGGCAGACAAAGCACCTCTTCTCTCCACAGTCTACTCTAGAGCACCATACAATTCACTTCAAGTCATGACATCATGAAACAAGAGCACAGAAGACTACAACGTTGTAAACTCTACCCATGTTTATCAACCCTAGGCTAGAGCACTGCATTACCAAGGAAACCCTGCCAGACTTACATGCCCGAACACCCGGCCTGCCTTCCCCCTGATCAGCTCCAGACTGTCCGGGTTCTTCTTCTGTGGCATCAGGCTGCTGCCGGTGCTGGAGGGGGGAGGGGGGGCACACAGGGGGGGAGGGGGGCACATCAGCAAGGTCAGAAACAAGGTCAACCTTCAGAGAAAACCTTCAAGTTGTAGAAAAAAATCCCCAAGAAAACAACCAGTTGGATTCTTCAGAGTCTGACTGCTTGAAATTGATTGATTCCAAATAAGAAACTCATTCAACTTGAGTGATTTGCCATTTTGTTCTTCTGATTAAAAAAAAAAAAAAGAAACTACTGGAGGAAGGTCATGCCCTTGACTCCTGACCTGTAGGCAACTGAAAGGAAGCTTTGCAGACAAAAAATCACCAGCAAACCAACCAGACAACTGCATAGTCAGATTCTTTAGAGTTTGAAGCTAGAAATGTTTCTAGTCTAAATAAGAAACTGATGGAGGAAGGCCATGCCCCTGACTACCCTGGGTGCCAAACTAGTATCAGGCCGTTAGCCGTTTTCCTTCGACAGCCAAGAGCCCTTCCCCGCCTATCTAAGTTACCGCTACGGGGGAGTTGAGCCCGAGGGGAGTTTGGCTGGCCTTAGAACTGTTAAACGTAAGGGCCAGCCAAACTCCCTCTGGGCTAGTCTTCCCGTAGCGGTAATTTAGACCCGCGGCGAAGGGCTCTTGGCTGCTGAAGGAAATTGCTAGCAGCCCGAAACAAGTCTGGCATCCAGGGTAGTCCCTGACCTGTAGGCGTCTGACAGGGAGATGAAGCTGAACTCCTTGCTGCTGTAGATGATGAGATCCTCCGCCCACTTACTCAGGTGGGTCGCCGTCAGAGACGCCCAGAACAAGAACTCAACTAAACAGAGAGAAATATATATTAGAAAGTTTATTGCAAATACTTGCCCGAGGGCTAATTGCAGTTACAAACAACATAAGAAAGAAAATACAGTGGTATGTGAGACTATATCTACGTCTCTACAACATACATGGTACTAGTTTTACTGGATTTGACTACTTCTTTTTTCATGAGCAACTGCTGAAGAGCACTAGTCTTGATAAAATCATTCTACCCATACAAGAGGAACAGAAAAACACTTAAAGGCTGTCTTTCTTCTACAACTACATTCATAGCTGTTTCACTAGAGTCTTCTACAAGTATTCTCAATTTTTCTTGTCACGTGGACAATCAGGCATAGTTCTGGATAGTCTCAGTGTATCCATGAACGTAGAAAATTTGATCCAGGCACGGTTCTTGATACATGTGGACTATCCAGAACTGTGCCTACAGATTCTGGATATAAAACACGGTTCTGGATACAACAGGTACCCACCAACAAAGTCTCTCCCACTGGTGGCATCCAGACTGTTCAGACTCACAGCGCCAAAGCCAAGCTCTGTGGAGGAGCAAAAACAACAATATCAACAATAACTAGTGTTACAGTGCATTGAAACAACAGAGACTGAAGGATGTTAACAACAATCATACAACAATAGAGTGCAAACCATTTTTTCATTGGCTCTTGTAGAACGAAGAAGGCACAGTTTCATATACATGTATACCAAAGAAGCTACATGTACAAGTCTCGGCTGTTTTCAGTGAAGTGACAGAAATGAAGCAACTAAACCTGTGGATGTAAAACTCACCCTTAGCCAGGAACTGTCTGTCCACATTGAAGGGGTTTCCTGCCAGAGCCCCACTGAAAAACAGCATCTTTTTATTGAATTTTCACAAACAAAAGTACAACATCAAGTGAAAAAATAGTACAACACATACAGTGGATCTGAATAATGACATTATGTACAGTTGAAACTGTCTCTACCTTCCCAGAGGGAGTTCGTTGACCCTGACTGCCATCTCATCCAGCCTCTGAGCATCTCTCTGCAGGGCGCAGGCGTGGCTGGAACCAGGGACAACATAGACATAAATCATCTGCAATCACCTGCAATCTGAGATGGCAGGCTTCGCCCCTTTACACACACTTCAGTTCTTTCAGTTTTATAGAAAAAAAGCTGGATCATGACCTCTTTGCAAGCCTCATAAGTCTTATCAAACTTTCAATAGGCATTGTCTTCTTATAGAAGACTTTTTCAACTAGAATGAGCAGACAAGAACCATATGACAACTATCTTTTTGTTATGTGTTGTGTATATATATAAGTGTGTATGTACATGGAAGGATTCCACTATAATCATATGTTTAGTTTATCAAAAGAAGAAAAAAACTTCTAGTTTATCAAAAGAAATCTTCATCGTCTTCACAAGTGGCAAACAATGCTGGGAGAAGCACAGGAGGTCAAAGGTGAGGTTACCTTAGCAACCAGTGGCTCCACCTGATTGGCTGAGCCCTCTGCAGGTGGGTGTAGCCTGGCATAATGATGTCAGTCTCTCTGTGGGGGAGAAGAAATGAATTCATTAAAATAAAATTTTTTTATTAAAAACAAGGCAGCAGGTAGAGAGCTCCAAACCTCTACAAAATTGAAGTTAAAATCCATCAATGAAGATTTCACATCCAGATAATGAGATAAACATTCAAGAAATTGCTACTAAAGCAATTGGATAGATTTTGAAAACTACCAGACATTTTCAGTAGCATCCACGTTTGATCGGTGACTATATATGAAGTTAAAAAATTTTTAGGCCTTTTTCAGGCTAACTCTAACAAATACAATATGTAAATATAGTTGGCAATTTCTAAATCTGACTTGTCCTGGTATCTCTCTTTGACGTAACTCTGACCTTTTACACTTGACACCCACTGACCTTTTGGCAGTTGTAACTCTGACCTTTCACCCTTGACCCCCACTGACCTTTTGGTTAGGTGTACCTCTGATCTTTTACCCCTGACCCCCACTGACCTCTTGGTTAGGTGTACCTCTGATCTTTCACCCCTGACCCCCACTGACCTTTTGGCCCTCTCCAGGAAGACGTGGATGAAGTCCAGCAGGTATCCCCTCAGTGTTCTCAGCGCCTCCCGCAGCCAGATGCGCATGTCGGTCGCGCACTGGTCGTTACGACTGCGGCCGGTGTGAAGCTTGCCCGCAGCAGGTCCAATCAACTCCTTGTGTTCAACAGGGGGACAAATTAGAACAGGGAGCGAAATTTGTTTTTTCTGCATATCTGCTCTGGAGCAGGCAACATTAACAAGACTGGCAATGAAAACATACATTGCCATGGCAACGGTGGTTGCTGTTAGGATTATTGTTTGCATGGCACTGCCATCATTTCATGATTTTGAGGAAGCTGTTAAGTCTAGACAGATACAGTGCACCCCTCCCCTGAGTGTAAAGTGAATGAGCCCTGGGGTCACAGAAAGTAGGGCCATCCGGGGCAGGCCATCCGGGTTTCCAGGAATGTGGGCATAGATGTAGGTCAGAGAAATGCCTGTGGACATTCCATTCCTGTGGACAAAATTCCTAGAGAATTCCTAGATCACACACAATACTGTACCATTAGGCTCCTCCCTGAGACGTCGCCCAAAATAACCTGTACCAGACAAGTAAACCTTATCTCACTTTACACTCGTATACTTAATGTAGTGGTAACAGACAGTACAGCACATAAAAATCCATATACACCTAGAGGCTTATCTTAATTTGTTGGTGTGCTTTGTGTAAGAACCACTTGTCTGAGAAGAGATAATATAGGTCCTCTGGGTGACTGTCTTAGATAAGTTTGTCGGTATGTGCAAATCAGATTTAATAACCCCACCTTGAGCCGGCGCTCATTTGCAGTGTGGATGTCTTCATCGCTCGGCTGGATCTGAAACGTCCCGTTCTGCCACTCTATACCGACCTGCGGGAAGTCAGAATGCTTGTGTCAGGGCTCAAGATACTTTCCAGGGCTCCAAATTTCATTTTGAGGAGTACTGGGCAGGTGTACCTGGCCCAAAGATTCATGTTCATAGAACAAAGCTTGGGTGCACATCATAAAGTACATGTATGTCAGCCAAACCTAATTATATGCTTAATCATGACCTTTTGTCTTCAACTTCCACTTGTCAAACGTTCTGAAGGTCATATGAATACCTGCCCCCCCTCCCCCTTACCTTGCCTAGCCCCTCATAGAGCTTAATATTTTGTCCTTGTTGACAGGCCAGACCTACTGTCCTATTCTCAACTCAACCTTGTGTTCAATGAAGAGCACACCAATCTGCCCCCCTCCCCCTTACCTTGCCCAGTCCCTCGTAGATCTCCTCCATTTCGTCCTTGGTGACGAGCCCGACCTTGCCGAGTGCGCGGACGTACGCCTGGCTGCCCTTGATGTCCGCCTCCCACATCCGCCGGTCGAAGCCGATCGAGGCGTTGAACTTCTCCATCACCGGGTCGTTCGCGCCGGTGAACCGCCCTCCCCACAGCTTGGAACCCTGGGAAACATTAATAGTGCTCAGACTCAGAGTTTTACGAAGAAAAGAACGCGGGCAGCGTACTTTGCAAACGTTGGCCATTTTCCAGTTGTCGATTGTTGCAGTGGTTTAGAGACCTCAGACACAATGCTTTGTGCGCCAGGATTGATATACAATTCCTAAACACATTCTCTTATGATATAGACTGGCTGTCATGTCCACCTGGTGTTTCACATGGGTTACTTTACACACCAACACCTGTCCTAGACACTTTTGACACCTGTTCTGGACAGGTTTGACAGGTAAGTAAGACAATATTTCACTTCCTTGGAATGAAGTTACAACGTTTCGTTTGATTAGGAAAATGATACAGATTAATTTTCAGAACCATGTTTACCGTTACTCTCGCTTAGGATGAGGTTACAAGTTTTGTTGGAAAAAAGGATCATTATTAATTTTCAGAGCCACTCTCACTATTTCTGATACTTCCCTCCATTTTAGACACTCTGCCCCCTCTGCCATAGTTAGTGGCCTGTCCCTTAGATCAATCCTACAGACTACTGCAGAGTGGAAAGACACACAGAGAGATCTAACACAGATCAAACCAAGCGATGTAACAGATGGATCTGACATGAAAGCATAATCACATTTAGAAGATGAAGGACACTGTGACTCACCTCACTCATTCTCAATGTGTTTCCTGGCAACAGGGACAAAAGGAGGAGTCTGCTCTTTGGTCAAAGGATGTCCAAACCACCTGTAGCTGAAAAAAATCAAGAAGCGTTTGATATAATTATTATAAATTCAATTTTCTCTCAAGGATTATATCAAAGGAGTACTGTGTACTAATTTGACAGATGTGATGAAGACGGCAGTTCAAATTCACATTCTGGAGGATACTCTACAGACAGCAGCAGACAAATGTGGACCTGGTAGTGTGTATGGTCTTCTACGTGCTCAGGAAAGCTGTTGGTCTCTGTTTGCAAATGATAAAAGGATAACTGGGTGCTGCCGGGAGATTTTTGTCAACCAATCGGAAGCAGCAGGAGGCTGCAATCAGCCAATCAAATGTGAGGAGACTTTGTATTAACCAATCACAACATCAGAATATGTTCAAGGAACCAATCATGAGAGAATAAATGAAGATGTACTTTTCTCTCTCTCTCCATCTGTGTGTGCATATCTGACACTTTAACTTATTTATCACCAACAAGTTGAAATGATACTGACATTTACTTTTCCTTTAATAACTTTTTTCTTTAATAACTATTGAAGACTTTGCTTTTCCAACTATGATTTATAATCAATCAGTTTTGCCTAGTGCCTTGCATGTATCAAGTGCTGAGCCTGCAAGTGAATATGTATTTAAACATTTATCATGTAAATTAGTGCACAAGTGTGCCCATGCATGTATGATACAGATTACAGCAGGCTTCAGTCAATTAAGAACAGGGATTATGGGTGCATGTTAAATCATGCTGATCAACTGTGGGGAGATATTGAATAGGCTTTTTTTCTCTTTTTCCACTAAAATGTCTTAGTACAATGTGATATACGTGCAATTGCCACATAGATGATGTTACCAAGTGTTTCCGGGTTTTCTTTAAAATATATTTTTAACTTTAAATATTTGCAAGGAGGGACCTGGGGGTTGTTTAATGCTGCCAGACAGTTCCCAATACACAGGCCAGCCCCCATGATAAAACCTGTTGCTCAAAGCCTCACTGGGGGGGTCTGTGGTAAAATTTCCTTGGTGATATGTTGCCCCTGGAGCCGAGGAGCTAGCGTGTATACTGGCCCTGGCAAGTCTAGTATGGAAAGTCTGGTACCCAGGCTAGCCCTTGAGCTGAGGAGCTGGCAGTAGTAGTATGTATACTGGCCCTGGTGACAATTTGGCACCCAGGCTAGCCCTGGAGCCAAGGAGCTAGCATGTATACTGACCCTGGCAACAGTCTGGCACCCAGGCTAGCCCTGGAGGCGAGGAGCTGGCCTGTATACTGGCCCTGGCAACAGTCTGGCACCCAGGCTAGCCCTGGAGCCGAGGAGCTGGCCTGCATACTGGTCCTGGCAACAGTCTGGCACCCAGGCTAGCCCTGGAACCGAGAAGCTAACCTGTATACTGTCCCTGGCAACAGTCTGGCACCCAGGCTAGATCTGAGGAGATAGCCTGCATACTGGCCCTGGTATTCCAGAACCGTACCTGGGGCAAATCTACCTTCTTGGACACGCGGAGACTATCTACAACCGCGCCTGATCCTAACTCTAACCCCCTTTCAGGCACAGTTACCAAAATTTGGCACGAATGGAGAGCTTTTGATTTGCACACTGGAAATCTCCGCACAGAAAACCTCCAATACTACGTGTAAAAACTCATTTCGTCATTGTTTATAGACCTAGGAGGGATTAAAATATACTTATGACCTGAAATACGTGGGTGACAAAACAAGTCTTACCTTGATTGAAGCGTGGAAAGTGAAAGTGATCAGGTAGCGAACTTTCATTCAGACGGGCGCCGCCATGTTGGAAGTGCTATTACCCAGCATGCACCGGGGGAGGAAACTAGTTCAGCACCAAGGACAGGAACTTTTTCTGCTTTCTAAAACCATCACAAGTCATGAAAGGAAACGATTTGTTTACGGCATGTATAATCAATGGAATTCTACAGTACAGGATTAAATGAACTTTCGTTTTATTCCTGTATTCTGGTAAATGTTAATTACATTCTACTGAAATCAGTCTAAGGCTATCAAATTTCAGGTGTGTGCTTGGTAGTGATGTACAAATGTATGATTACCATAATGCATGTGAGTTGCTTCTGTGAACGCTCCAGTTAAATAACCAACCTTAAGGTTTTAAAAACAAGAACTCAAGGATTTCTGTAAAGTATTTTCAATTGTGAATTTCTTTGTGAGTTTCTCTCTAAAGCTGAATGCATTTTCCACTGCCCTCCATAAAGCAATCAACATGAATGTTATAATAAGACATTTTACAGATGAAGTCTGAAAACGAGGGGACCTTTGTACCATTTACTTCCTTCTAGCCTGCAGAGAGACCGCCATTTTTACCGCCAACTTGACCTTCCTGTCAGTCTGTGGTTACATAATTTCCCCTCAGTTCAAGTGACTCTATTCAGATAACTAACGTTAACGTTACAGACACAGAAGCAAAGAAACAAACACCAAGAAAACACAAACAAAACCTCTGTACGCTTTATCAGTTTTACACACCTCGAATCCAACAGCACATCAAAAGTAAACATTCCAACAGGAAAATCGCACACAAATACTTCGTGCATAGATGGTAAAAACACCTTTGCATAGAATAAAGCTCAATAAACTTTCATATATTAACTTCTGCACTAACGTTAAACACAGCATCCTTTCTCTGAAAATATCTTACAAGCACAAAATACAACACAAATCTAAGGCAATAAAGTACTGAGGTAAACAGGACACCTTCATAAAAACCCATCTATTCTAAATGTTTACTTAAAGTATAACAAAACATCTCCTAAGCCATAATCTTAATTTAAGGAAATAAAAGAATAGACAAATAGCAGCATCCTTTCCCAGTGGGTTTTCATATGGTGGGATGAAATACATTAAAATTTTTGAAAATGAAGTTTCTGTGACAGCAGCAGTTTAGATGACTCTGAACTGTGATCGTTACAAAGTTTTGGCGCATTAATTTAGAGGTTTGGAAAAAGAGTTTGGCCACAGTTGTTCCTACCAACCCCCTCTGTGCTGCTGGTAAAATGTGCATGTATCAGAAATATATGATGTTGATGATATAGCAGCAACAACTAATAAATAAGGCAGTCATCTTTTTCTTCAAACACACTGGTAGTTACTGAAACTTCTGCTAGGTACATGTCAGTTATCTTGTGAACTGTGAACTACATTGTCCTCTTTTTCATTGTCTCTTTCATTGAAGTCAACAAAAGTGTTGTAAGTTGTAGAACATGATCCATATTCAGTTTTCAGCATACTAACTCTACTGTAGAGGTTGATGATTGTCATACAAAGTAATTGGCATATTGTTCTTGCAGCCTCAAAGTTTATGTGATACAATATTCACCAGTAGAGTCCTGTGTCATTGAATGTAACATTACATGTACTCAATCATGCTCAAATTTGTACTTTCTTGCCCCAATTTCAGTCAATGAAATTTAAGCAAAATATTAACTGGTAACGTTAGTACAAAAAGTTTCTCCAAATCACCTGATGCCACAATACCACTGTACAGTATTGCTTAAGTCTTAACATTTTACGCCTTGATAATATATTTATCTAATATTCCAGAATTTGAACAAATATTGCTTTTTGATTGTCAGAATCTAAGAAAATACCATATAACGGTACAAAATACTCTTAAATATGTTATCAGCATGTAACAATCCTTACAACATTTGACAAAATTCCAAAATTGAAAAAAAAAATTAAAGAAACTGAGACCACACCAATTTCATTGATTTCTGATGATTTCCTTAGTCTAAAAAATTTCATATGGACGAATCCAAAACAGAATAATAAAATAAAAACAGAAGAATAAATATTGCCAGAAATGAAATGAGCAATAATACAGAGCCTGAGGGGAAAGTCTGTGCCTTGGTACACACAGTTTCTGGGAGTGAATGTAGTCTGTAGTTTTCCTCCTAGCCCTCAGTGTTTCCATCTTGACCAAATTGTGCTTTAAAAAAGACAGAGGAACCTACAAAAAAAAATGTTAGTATCATCTCAGCTTGTGCTGTGACTTGCTGTTTGTAGTCCAGCTAATTAACTTCTTGGTTGATTTTGCCATACTGAAAAATCAAGCTTAAAAAAAAAAGCATCCAGGAACGAAGAAAATAATTTGGTGTGGCCTAGGCTTACATTGTCATCTGCTTCTGAATATCTATTTCAAGATATTCAGACTTTTAAAAAACCTTCCTTACATAAACAATGTACTTTTTAGATTGTCAAATATCTAGAGGAAATCCATTAGGTTATAATTTTTAAGTTTATCAGCCTTATTGAACATCTTTCTCTCCCTCTCCTATGCTTTGACTTGTAACAGCCATGGAACTGTAACACTAACAGTTAAAAATTAAGAGAACCCTAAGGTTTGTTTTCCAGTTATATTGCTAACTGTGGAGAGAATCTTCCAACCAAAACAGCTGTGACGTTGCTATCTTTAGTACAGATAGCAAACAGATCCTTGCAAGAAAATAACTCGGTGTGGCCTATTTTTAAAAATTCAATATTGCAACGAGGCAATACATTGGCCACCCAGGCAGCATGGCTGATATCGGGTGCCAAAAGATACACAAAGACACACTGGGTGTGTCCTAACCCAGTATTCAATACAAATTTGGTACCAAACAATCTTCCTTAGCAAGCTGAAGGTTAAGTTTGTAATCCTCCGGTGGCACGGAAGTCAGCCGGCATCCACGTGTTTGCAGTCGAGGTACCCAAGCCTGGAGATGGCCTTGTATTGATCCGGCACCTCCATCAGGCAGTGCAGCGCGAAGGCTGCGCTCGGGTACCGAGTCCTCTTCACCGCCGTGTGGTAGTCCACGAACTGGAAGTTGTCGAACTTCCTTTCCGGCAGCCTGTCGTCGAACTCCTTCATGACCCCCCAGGGGCCGTCCCCGACCCCCACCATGATGATGCTGAGGGCGAAGTTTGACGCCTCGACGATGGCGTCTCTCGTGGGTCCCTCGTCCTTGACCTGCCCGTCCGCGATGATCAGCAGGATGTGGTAGCCCTTCTGCTGCTGGACGATGTCGATGGCCTTGTGGATCAAAGGCGCGAAGCTCGTCGGCCCGCTGAGCGCGACTTCCTTCACGATCGCGCCGTAGTGGATCAGCACCTGGTCGTGTCCCTGGCAGGGCGAACCGTCCGGCCTGAAGGGGAACACCTCCTTATCCTTCGTACGAGAATCTCCGAACCCGAAGACCGGAATCAGGTTGTCCTCGTCAAGCGGCTGCAGGGTTTGCCCGATGGTGGAGATGACTTTCTGGTAAGGGTTGTAGATTTTCTTCCCCGACAGGGCGTGTAAGCACTTCCCCCCAAACGTCCTCCGGCCCTGCCACTCGTTACTCGCCGTGAAATCCACGCCGATGATCAAGTTACAGCAGACGAGCCCGGCGGCCTTCATGGCCTTCGTGACCTGCTCGTAGTTGCTGAACTTGTCCTCAATGGCGTCGAAGTGCGACATGTCCGCGCGGAGAAGCTCGAACGCGGTGCAGAGGCTGTCCTGCCGACCTTTCGCCCTCCTCTTCTCCTCCTCCAGCTCTTTCTCCGTCTTGGGTTTGTAGTGATGGAACAGGACCATCATCACCGTGAAGGCACCTGGAGATGGAGCCAAAACATCAGATTCTGTTAGTTTTTACTACAAATCAGTGAGAATAACCCACAAGTATAGAACTTGATGCCTGGATGTTAAGCTAGTCATTGTTAGTAGCTTTTTACTTCAAATTGGAATAAACTAAAAGTATCTTTGATGGAAGAACTTAATGGTAACATTGTAAAATGTTTCCTAGATATTAAGCGAGTCATTATTGAAGACCTCCGTTAACTTTTTACTACAGTTCTCTGGTGCAAATAGGAATAAACCACAAATATCACATGTAAACAGTAACGCATATTGTAAGTAGGGCGCAATTTGGTCAAACCAGGCATGCAAGTCCCTTTCCTAATAAAACTTGAACATGATCTTTGATGTTAGAACTTGATGGCAACGTTGTAAAATGTTTCCTAGACGTTAAGCCAGTCGTTATTGAAGATGAAGTCAAGACATCTGTTAACTTTTTACTACAAACTGAAATAAGTCTAAAGTACCTTAAGTTTAAAGTTAGAACTTGATAACAACATTGTAATTATAAAATGTTTCCTGGATATTAAGCGAGTCATTATTGAAGACCTCCGTTAACTTTTTACTTCAGTTCTCTGGTGCAAATTGGAATAAACCACAAATATCACATGTACACAGTAATGTATATTGTAAGTAGGGTGCAATTTGGTTCTAACATCTTTGATGTTAGAACTTGATCGAAACGTTGTTAAATGTTTCCAAGACGTTAAGCCAGTCGTTATTGAAGATGAAGTCAAGACATCTGTTAACTTTTTACTACAAATTGGAATAAACCACAAGGATCTTTAAAGTAAGAACTTGACTGCAACGTTGTAAAAAATTCCTGGACGTTAAGGGAGTCATTATTGAAGATGGAGTCAAGACATTTGGTAGGTTTTTACTACAAATTGAAATAGACCACAAGGATCTATAAATGTTAGAACTTGACGACAGGGTTGTAAAATGTTTCCTGGACGTTAAGCGAGTTGTTATTGAGGCCATGTGCCTTTACAACAAATCAACCTGTTAAGTGCATGATATAACGGCATTCCTGTGCCTTTTCTGTTTTTGGCATCACATATGAGTAATTCTTAATTCTTTTCTTATACAATCAATTCAGAGTGAGCCTGATGCCGTTCCATTGTAAAATTGATGAAGCACAAAAACAACAGTTACTCAGTAGTTTGGTATGGGGTGCCTTGGACATGTGTCCACAAGACTTTGATTACAGTTTGACTGCACACACCACTTCAAGCAAATTTTGGGAATTGTCGATCTTCCCTATTTTCAGACCAATTTGAAAAAAATATTTTCCGAGTCCTTGACTGTCTAAATGTAAACAGAAAAAAACAGGCACCTATGAACAGCACAAGGGACAACATGGAGACGCAGCTATCGGACACGCCCACCACGTACAGCACATTCATGACGACCGGCGGGCGCGGGTTTGGGGCGGTCCACGCACGGCGGGGGGCGGTGGGAACTGTGGTCCGAGGCACCAGACAGGCGGCTACACAGTTACCATGGCGACGTCTTTGTCACATCAGGTTGCCATGGCAACATGGTGAAACCGGCAGAAGACTTCCCGTGTTCTGTTAGTCTGCAAGAAACGAGAACAGAAATTTAAAACAAGTGACATTGACACAAATGTAAAATTTAAGGTAAAGAATTTTGCTGCATAAAATTGTAAGCCCACTGCATGTCATCTACATGACATTGTAATACACTTTGTATGGCCTTAACAGGAACCTACTATGCTTAAAGACAAATGTAACAGTCTCTGCATCTGGACAGTCCAGCAATCTGCTACAGTTCTAACATTGTTACAAAATTCTGGCTCAGTCAGCCTCTGTAACCTTGTGTCCAAATAACTGTAACAACATCAGCGGTGTAGCAATATCTACTGCCGTCACCCTAAATAACAGGGTACTTCGCCAGAAACGTCCAGCATGATATTTGTCAATAATGTAGCCAGTGGAATTGTTGCAATGTAATTTCCCAGCCAATACAGAAGCCTGGGGGAGATTGCCACATACCAGGAAAACTGCTACACCACAGACATACCATGTAACCCGACCCCTCCCTGCAGTGGCTACACAGGATGGTTACTGAGATAACAGTGTGGCAAACAGTGACCTGAGCCTTTCTGTCTGGTTAGAGTTGGACTCCTGCCAAGTGTGGGCAATCAATAGTGGTGTTTGGGGAAACCATCTCCAATTGATGAACTGGTACTATCAAGATAAACATCTTCGACGCATTTCTCAGGGAAGCTTCAATTGGTACCCAAGACTTTTCCACTCAGGAGGCTTCTTGGAATGGTGCTGCCTGAACTTGTCATTCATTAGATCTTAAGTAAGATCTTGACTTGATCTGTGTGCTGTCGCATATCAAGAACTTGACAAACTTTAATATACACACCAAATGCACAGACACATACACACAAACACTCAAACAGTCACACACATGTTAATACTCACACACACACACACACACACACACACACAGGTACACACACACACACACACACACACACACACACATATATGCACACATGCACACACACAGATAGACACACATACACACAGATAAGAATCTAGAGAGAGAAAATTTAGTTTCAATGTACTTAGTTAGTTACAATGTATCGAGGGTACAAAAAATCTGCCAAATCCTGACATGTTTCTCATTTTCTGTCATATGATCAAAAACTGTAGTGATAAAAGCCAGGACATCAATTAACAGCACAGTAACACTTGCTTAGGGCAGGTCCTACATTAAACTTTCATGATAATCAAAGGGTGTAATGGAGTTTGCAAAATTACACACAGACACTGAAGACACCCCACAATACAACCCCAGAATTCAGCATCACATCAGCTGTTCTTAAATACAGTTCTGGGGACCATGCCATCTCTCATGTCTAGAAACCAATTAGCATCAGCTGAACTAAAATGATTTGAATTTGGGCAAGAAGTTGGAGCAAAACTGATCCCCAGAAGCTAGCTGGGAATCGAAGATGCTTTAAGTTAACTGAAAGGTTTTTGTGCCTGCAATAAAAAGTTATAGCAGAATGACAAGTTTGAACAGACTCTCCTGCCGTTCAGCACCAAGGACAGGGAATGCCGAGTTAGGGAATTCTGTTGTGTTGCATTTAAGAAAATCCTTGCCAGTATAGCAAAATGCAGACAAACTTCAGACGTTTCTTGAGAAACTGAGAACTGTCGTGCCCTTACCTTGTCCTGCCACCCCAACTATAGCTGCATTAGTAACCGCATTCACGACAACAACAAAACCAGCCACTCCCGAACCACAAGCAAGCTGTCCCGCTATCCTACAGTATAACAGTAGCCAGCAGGGCCCCATAGGAGCTATAACTTTGGGCCTACTCGGTTATTGATTGCACTCGTGGCTCCATCCAGCCTCATACAACACCCTGGCTGCGGTCTGTGAAACCTATTACATAAACTAGACTGGCAAGCCCCCATAGGGGGAAATAAAGTGAGCATACTCGTTCATCAACAGCTGAGCCTTCCAGTTCCGTTTGAGCTCCTGTTGTCAATCAAGACAGCAAAGTCTTCATGTACCATTCTTAAATAGCAGCATAGAATATATGCCAGCAAGGACCCATAGGTGCTAAGCCGCCTTACCTGTTCGCTTAGGAACATTGATGTTCAAATGATTGAGGTGTCTACAAATCATAAATCATGTAGGAGCAGTGTCGGGGTGTGTGGCCTTCACGGGTGGGTAACCTCCCCTATTGGAAAGTCTTCTCCACTCTGTTAGATTACTGACAACTCCCCAGGGACAAGGGGAGGGTCATTACTGCTTGTGGAGTGGTGGCAACAGGGATGGTCATTCATAAATTGAATATATTTTGCTCAGAACAAAATTATTGTAACCTTGACTTTGGAAAAGTGTTGAATTATGACATTTTAATGACAAAATGGTATGAAATATGAGGAAGACAATTTCTTCATCTCACATGTAAAAAAAAGTCGAGTTTATCAATTATATTTCAATACGACATCTTGCCTCCTCTTATGAAAATTAGGCCTTCTATCTTTAAAAAAGTTGAAATTCACAGTTAACTGCTTATTCTGTTGCACCCCCAACAAAATTTGCTGCCCAACGTTATGTGCAGAATACTGCAACATGTGCAATGACCCTTACAAACATTTATGTGCCACAGCACGCATGGAAAATTACCATGTATATCACATGTACCTGTTCATGTAATGTCAGAAACATGGCACGCTCTAAAATGCAGTTTATGACCCAAAGTTCAATACCTTTTGGTGTGATATATGAAAGATACTTGACCATATTAGGCCGGACCATTTCAATTTTTTGGATGATGTCCTCTAAAAACTACAAACTGGATGAAAACAAGTAATTTTACTGCAATAATAAAATGTAAACAACTATACGACTATATATGCAAAAGCAAGTATATTCCATTTTTAAAACGTGCCCCAATGAAAATTAGTAGATGGGAGACTGCAAATTTACTGAACCTAATCTATTTTTTTTTATTTCCAGAAAAATTAGAAAAGGGTTATTCCAAAAAACAATTGATTAAATTGATGTAGCCCAGAATCAAGATTTCTTGGCCCGTTCCTCGAGCCAGAATAAGACATCTCCAGAAATCTTAAGGGTCCTCGCCTCATTACACTTCCCCTCTAGAGGTAATATCCATCTTATCATAGCTCGCTCGTAGCTTGGGCTATTTCTGTTCTGACGCACATGCTGTATGCTACAGCTGCTGTGTTTGAAACTGTGCAGGGGAGTGTGTAATGTTGGGCAAGGCCACACCAATCTGCAGAGGCAAGGGAAGAAAACTTGAGGTTATAATTTTGGCCTAAAATATTTACACCATAAACCTGAGTGCACCAAGGCACCTGAGTATTGCACTGGTAACTGAAAAAAAGGATTGAATCAATAGATTTAAGCAATGATTATATAAAATGCTGTGGTGCTACATGTTACTCTATCATAGATGTTAGGAACCTGATGTAAGTGTCCAACTACAAAACCCACTATCAAATCATAAAATAAGGTTGTATGGCTATCTATAAAACATCTTAAATACTACTGTTGCATGTAACCTAAGAAAAATATTTTAGAATTGAAGAGTGATGATGAAACTATTTACAGGGTTAAATTAACTGACAGTTAAGCATCCTGAAAACCCCTTCACGCCCTCATACAGCAATCAGACCAGGCGATCTTAATGTAAACATGGCCGTAGGGTCTGCACTAATGATAAAAGCCTTTTTATTGATCACCTTGGCACCTAATCGAGCCGTGCACTCGGAGGCCAGTCCTGGGGAGAGTAGGGGCAATTTAACTGCAGTCATTACTAACTTCTTACTGCAGATTACAATTTTCTCCTAGGACTTCATAGAGTACTAGTGACTGTATCAAAAGTTTTATGTGGAAACTGCAGTAGACTTGTGTTGTCAGTGCATAGGCAATGACAACACAATTTGTTGGTCCTTGGATGAACTAAATAGCGCTTTAAAGTGTCAAACTTAGTGACTGTATCAAAAGTTTAATGTACTACGTAACTGTGGACTTATATAATGGACTTAAATTGTCTCCACTGAATGCCAACACAATCTGTTGCATCTTGTTGGATGAACCAAATAGCACTGAACTAGAAAATCAACATGAAATGAGTCTGAGGGAAAGTCTGTACCTTCAAAATTAATGCATTAAATATGGTATACAAAGTTTCAGGGAGTGATAATGTCAGATTAAAGTTTACCTTATACTCTTCTGTCTTCATCTAGACCAAATTCTTGCACACCGGTAGATTTAAGATAATTTTGTTGCTGAATTTTTATGACAACTCAATGATTTGAATCCTCGTCGTCATATAAGATGTTTGACTTTGACAAGTTCATTGTTGGTTGTTCATAACACAATTGCATATTCATTCTTTTAAGATTACTAAATATATATTTTACTTGTGCTAACAGTTGAAAACCTGGAAGTGATTTGATGTTGCCTGACTAGTTTCTCCTTGCCCAGAACAAGCCCAATGTTGCAGTCTGCCCATGTGGAGCCTGTCCAACAAGTAAATTACACCTGAGATCAGAACGTGTCTTTGCATCCCTCAGCGGGGTCATGCACGGTTTCCTCATTGCTTTTTTTGTCGTAAACTTTAAACTGGGGCCAAAATCGATGTGTGACTTGGATATAAGGAACCTTCAGAATACTTAGAATTCTTTCCAAGAAGTCTCCCATCTACCGTATGATTGAAGTAACGTGTACGGAAAGGCAAATACAAATGTAAGGTTGCTGTCTGTTATCCCATATGGTGGTGATTTCCGGAAATTCAACAAACCAAATTACGAAAAAGATATACAAACTTTTCCTGCAAAGGAAAGAATTAAATTGGATAATAATAATTTTCAGACATTCAAGCAACCAAATTACGAAAGGTGAAAAAAGATCTACTCGAAATTCATTTTCAGCAATAGGGTGCACTGGTGCACCCAACCTAAAACAATTGTGTGCACAAAAAAGTTTTTGGGTGCCCCATATGAAATAGAATATTAAGTAGAATGTCATCAAAATCTAATTATGTTTCATTTGTTA